CCAATTGTACTAAATACATTTAGAATCATCAAGAAATCAACTAAATCAAAACTGAAATAGGGCACTGAATCCAAAATAATAGTGCTTGTGGCAGAAGCCAGCACTGATTTAGTTAAATCATTGCTCAAACTGTGTGTAGGCTAGCTCTAAGAAACCATAATTAAATAGAAAGCAAAGGCATTTAATATAATTCCCCTCAAAACATGCTACTGTGCTATCATACAGGAATCATCAAGACAAACTGTAGCCTTGGGAATGGATAACAAAAATGTAAGAGTTATATGTCGGTGGCATAATTTATTCTGGCTCTGCAAAAATTTCTTGTGAAACATCAGATTATCTTCTGTCATCATGCCAAGGTATGTGGCTTCAATGCTTTTATTCTTTCCTAAAAAGTCAGTGTTTCCAATTCATTCGACTTTTCAGTTGCTGCTCTTTGGCTCACCTCCAATATCTGATATTCTTTCTGGAGAAGAGATGCTTAGAACTGTGTAAATATTCTGCGTACAATCTAATCAGTGCTGTTGAAAAACTGACTGTAACATCCTTGCTGACAAGATACATTTGTATATTAAACCTAAACATGCATTGAATATTTTGGCTGCCATACTACATGTTGCCCCACTGTATTTCATAAGTAAATGAACAATACATGGAAATTTAACTTTTTCTAGGGAATAGTTTTGAGATAAATCTGGTTAAACTTTGTCAAAATTGGTGAATGTAGCAGCCACCCTTTATTTAGGTTAAGTGTAAAATCCCCTCAACTGGTTAATTGTGTAGTTTCCTGGAAACCAGCTACGTGTGCGAAGTAGCTATCACACAATAAAAAGCTCCAACCAGCAATCAAATTAGAACTCAAAAGTGTGTACTAACTTTATAGCTGGTTGCTACTGAGCTTTAATTTGCAGGTGCAGTAGGACCTCCCTGTAGCTGGGAGCCCCATCAGATGGTGGGGTTCCCAACTGCAGGGGTACACCATGCCCAGTATAAAACCTCTGAGCCCTAGGAATCACAGCAGCCACAATCCCCAGGGTCTGGAGATTTCTGGGAATTTCCCACACCCTGGGCCCTAGGGTTTTGGGGTATGGGAAACCACCAGGGGCCAAAGGATCATGGTGATCCTGGGGGTTACCTATACCCCCAGGCAGGGGGATTACCCTGCAGTGAACCTCTGACCTTGGAAGTTTCCTGCACCCCTGGAGTGGGGAGATCACCGCAGCAGCAATCCTCCAGCTCCAGGGGTGTGTGGGGTGCACCCGGAGCTGGGAGCCCCTAAGCTGAGGTGCCTGGGGCTCAGGCACCTCAGCTTGCTTCTTGTCAGTGCAGGGGGAACCCAGGATTGAGACTGCTTTCCACACTCCTTGTGGGCTTTTCCTGGCTTCATAGCAGTAGAACTCAGAAAAACGAAACTGCTGCCTGTTGCTGCTGTCCCAAATATGCCCCTTTGGGAGGAGTTCAGCTGCAAAGAAGCAAAGCCAGAATCTCCATGGGGCTGCTTGAGGGATGGTCCACAAAATGCAGACATCTTTGAGATATGGAGGGAGGTGAATTTATCTCAACCACTTTTTACACAGACACTTGTAAGCCTTGAGTTTCAGAATGGGAGAGAGCAGCTGTGTCACAGGCCACAATGGCAGGAAGACTGTGAGATTTTTTAAATCAAATCTCTCTAAGGCACTGGCAGCCAAATCTTCCCTCATCCAGGAGGAGAGAAACTGTAAGGCAGCAAATGGAGATTTATCCCATTGCTTGGTGTTAAGATGCTATAGTGGTGAGCCGCTTCCAAATGCTGTAGACAAGGGGTGTCAAACATAACTGGCCATATGTTCCATGCAGTGCACTGTTAGTCCAATGGGCTCCTGGAAGCTGGGGGAGGGAATAGTGGTGCGTAGCCTGCTGCAGAATTAGGAGTCACTGGGCACTATTGGCAATGCGTAGGGGGTGCACGCAGGTGCACATGCATCCCCTGAGATTGGCCATGCACCCCCTGGAAGCAGCAGCTGCAAAACTGGAAGTGCCGGTGGAAGCGCGCTTCCAGTTTCGCTGCTGGTGGTTCTGGGCTTGGCAAATGGCCACCCCCCCCGTCGGAGATCTGGTGCACCCCCAGACTCGGGAGGCACCAGTTGCCTTTGCTGGGCACTAATGGACATGGCTGTCAATGATAAAGGAGGCAAGTCAGAGCTATGCAGATACAGCCCTCACTTGCTCCACCACTACCCAACCTGTATCACTGCCCTTGGACGTCTGCCGTCACCACTGGACCTACTGCAGCTGCTGCTGGCCCTGCAGATCTGGCCTGGAAGGACCCCTCAGGGTCTGGATCTGACCTGAGGCTCAGGTTGAATTTTACACCCTGCTACAGACAGGCAGAGCAAGGGTTTTTTGGTGCTATCTTTCCTTAGATCAATTGCATAGTTGGGAGAGATGCTTGATGAGCTTCTGGGGCTACCACATGCCCCTCTTCATTGCCCAGAAGCTTGCCTGATATCATCCCTCCCAACCATACAGTCGATCCAAGCAAAAATATCACCAAAAAATGCCTTGGCATCTCCTGGACCAGCTGCAGAGAGTAGGACATGGACTAATGGCTTGAAGTCGCAGCAGAGTAGGTTTAAACTGGAGATCAAGAAAAACGTCTTCACTGTTAGAACAGTGCGGCAGTGGAACAGACTGCCTAGGGAAGTCTGGACTTTTTATCACTGGAAGTGTTCAAGAGGTTGGACAGCCACTGGTCAGGGATGATCTAGGCGTAGCTATGCTTACGCTCTACTCTGGGTATTTCCCATGCTTCTGGACTTTGCTGGTTGCCCCAGCCCCTGTTTCTGCTACATGTATCAGGGTGTTTTTATGCTTCCGTTAGAGGCATTGGGTGTTGGCAACAGCCAAGGCTGGGGACTTTGGGGTGTGTCACTGCTTCTGTTGAGACCAAAGCTGGAGGTTCCTGGCTAGAGGCTCTTGCTCCGCTGCTCATACTCGGAGCAATCAGTGTATTTGGGGTCAGGAACAAATTTCACCCCCTGGCCAGATTGGTACCCACGGGGATCAGGGGGCAGGGTTTGCCTTCCTCTGTATGGGGGCATGGCCTGCTACCCAGGGTCCCATGAATGTGTATTAACCACCTGATATGGAGGCAGGACATTGGCTGTGCGGTCGTCCTGCCTTACCTGTGGTAGGTTCTGAGTGTTTTGTGCTGTGTCAGGGTCAACAGTGGTTTTATTGCTAACAAGGCTGCAGCCTGTGTGGGGCAGTTTAGACTGGGACACTCCTGCTTCAGGTAGGGGGCTGGGCAGAGTGAGCTGAGGAGGCCCCTTCCAGCCCTGCTTCTCTGGGAGGTCTATGATCTCCCCAAGCAGCCAGGCTACCACAGCACCCCATCTCACACCGGCAGCCCAGCCCAGCTGGCCATACCAGCGTTGCCAGATCTTAAATATGAAATTATTATACTGGAAGCTCAAAATTAACGTATTTGCTGAAAACCTATCATACATGGAAAAATATGCAAATACATGCAAACAAGTTTTCTTCTTATTTACTTTATAATACTCACTTTGAGTTGCCAGTGAGTGAGAATTGGCTCATCCAAGTTGAAGCTTTTTTTTTATTTTCTGAGACAAGCAGTCATAAGAAAATGCTGGTATGTGGGCTAAGATCAGCTATAGTCACTGTGTTGGTGTGCTGCCCAACCCAAGGTGGAGTTAAGTGACATTTTGTAGTGGAGGCTGCACCCCTGTCCAATGCGCTGCAGACAGGACACCCTACAAGGGTCTTATAACTAGCTTCCCAGTGGCCAGCCTCCAGTGGGGCTGGGGCCTGCAGGCAGGATGCCCACCAACAGATCTGGGAGTCTCTGAAGCCCCAGGCTGAAAAGTCTGGGGTGTGGACGATACTTGCTGGTTGTAACACCACATGCGATTGAGGTTTGCTCAATCAAGAGGATTCAGAACTATTTGGCTAATTTGACTGGAATACAAAATAAATAAATAAATAAGCCAAAAAAACCCAAACCCAAAAGTCAGTTAAGACTCCCTGAGAATGACTTGGGTTTTGCGGATGCTGCATCGATTCGCTGCCTCAAAAAATATTGTAAATGTGCTAGAGTTCTGCATTTGTAAATTTTGAGCACTTTTACCATTATTGATCGCAAGGGTTGAAATTACCCTACAAACGCGATGACTACGGTGCCCCTGGCAACCCGTGCCCGCGGGGCCAGTCCCCCATTGTGAGAGCAGGCGCGCATGGCCCCGCCCCCCGGGCAGTGGGAGCCGGGCAGCTGGGGGCGGCTCCGCCCGCGCCCCTGTAGCTCCCCGACCGGCCGCTAGGGGGCGCGTCCCCTCAGGCTCCGCCTGGCGCGCCGAGCCCATGTGACTGTCTCGGTCCCGCCAGCGCCAGGCAGGGGGGGTGGGTGAAGGGGCCACCCCTTCCCCCGCGGCGACCACACGT